ACAGGCATATTGTAAATAATAATCACATCAGGGTAATCGGGGTATCCATCACCTCAAGCACATATCCTCTGTGTTACACACAATCCAATGATACTCTTTTAGTTATTTATAAAATATTTTTTAGTAATTAAAAAATTTTTTTGTGGGTACATAGTAGGTAGGTGTATATATTTATAGAGTACATAAAATGTTATGTTTTGTCCAGGTGCTGTGGCTCATGCCTGTAATCCCAGCACTTTGGAAGGCTGATCTAGGTGGATCACCTGAGGTCAGGAGTTTGAGACCAGCCTGGCCAACATGATGAAACTCTGGCTCTGCTAAAAATATAAAAATTAGCCTGTCATAGTGGTGGGTGCCTGTAATCCCAGCTGTTGGGAAGGTTGAGGCAGGAGAATCACTGGAACCGGGAGGTAGAGGTTGCAGTGAGCCAAGATCACACCACTGCATTCCAGCATGAGTGACAGAGAAAGACTCTGTCTCAAAAGAAAAGAAATGTTTCAATACAGGCATACAATGTCAAATAAGTGCATAGTGAGGAATGGGGTACCCATCTCCTCAAGAATTTATCCTTTGAGTTATAAACAATTCAATTGTATTCTTTTTTTTGAGACAGAGTGTCACTCTTGTTGCCCAGGCTGTAGTGCAGTGGCACGATCTTAGCTCACTGCAACTTCCGCCTCCAGGGTTCAAGTGATTCTCCTGCCTCAGCCTCTCCAATAGCTGGGAGTACAGGCATGTGCCACTGCACTCAGGGAATTTTTTGCATTTTTAATAGAGACAGGGTTTCAATATGTTGGCCAGGCTGGTCTCGAACTGCTGATCTCAGGTGATCCAGCTGCCTCAGCCTCCCGAAGTGCTGGGATTATAGGTGTGAGCTACCACATGTGGCCCCAATTATATTCTTTAAGTTATTTTAAAATATATGATTAAGTTATTATTGCCTATAGTCACCTGATTGTGCTATCAAATAGTAGATCTTATTCATTCTATTTGTTTAAAAATGTAAAATTAAATTATTGTTGACTACAATTACTCTGTTGTGCTATCAAATACCAGATCTTATCCATTCTTTCTATTTCTTGTACCCATTTGCTATCCCCACTCCCACCTTCTCCCTCCACTACCCTTTCCAGCTTCTGGTAAACATCCTTCTATTCTCTATTTCCATGAGTTCATTGTTTTATTTATTTATTCATTTAATTTTAATTTTAATTTTTGTGAGATGGAGTCTCACTCTGTTGTCCAGCCTAGAATGTAGTGTCGTGATCTCAGCTCACTGCAACTTCCACCTTCTGGGTTCAAGAGTTTCTCCTACCTTAATCTCCTGAGTAGCTGGAATTACAGGGATGCGCCACCACGCCTGACTAATTTTTGTATTTTTAGTAGAAACAGAGTTTCGCCAAGTTTACCGGGCTGGTCTTGAACTCCTGACCCCAAGTGATCCACCCACCTCTGCCTCCCAAAGTGCTGGGATTACAGGCATGAGCCATGGTGCCTGGCCAAGTTTATTGCTTTAGGTTTTAGATCCCACAAGTAAGTGAGAAAATGCAAAGTTTGTCTTTTTGTAAGTGACTTACTTCACTAAACATAGTAACCTCCAGTTCAACCCATGTTGTTGCAAGTGACAGGATATTATTCTTTTTATTGCCAAATAGTACTCCATTGTGTATATGTACCACATTTTCTTTATCCCTTCATCTGTTGATAGGTCCTTAGGTGGCTTCCATTATCTTGGCTATTGCGAATAATGATGCAATAAACATGTGAGTGCAGCTATCTCTTTGATATATTTCCTTTCTTTTGGGTATATACCTAGCAGTGGGATTTTTAGATCACATGGTAGCTCTAGTTGTAGCTTTTTCAGGAACCTCCAAACTGTTCTCCATAGTGGTTGTACTAATTTACATTCCCACCAATAGTGTATGAGGGTTCTCTTTTCTCCTTGTCCTTGCCATCATTTGCTGTTACCTGTCTTTTGGGTAAAAGCCCCCCCCCCACCTTTTTTTTTAAAATAGAAACTCTGGTTTTATTTTCAACTGTACATTTTTGACAAGTGCAAGGTGAGCCAGCGATATAAATATTCCAATAATGACTGAAGTGATAACTTCTATTGGCATGTCTTCTTCTGAGTCTCCATTTCCTCCACTGATATTCATCCAAATAATAAAAGTAACACAATTGCAATTGAGTTTACTATTATCAATGGCACTCTCATCACAGTTCCTACAGATCGAATAAGGTTCATTAGCTGCGATTTAATTCCTCCTCTCCTAATCCACCAATTCCCTGGTCTCTTCCCCAGCCAATGTTCTTGAGGAATCGCTCCTCATGTAGCATGGCGATGGCATTAATGCAGAGCAGGGCTGCCTGCAGCAATGAGTAACAGGGTAAAGGCTGTGGCCGTCTGGAGCCGCCCTGAAGTCCAAGTGATTTCTCTCCAGCCACCACAAGGGATATCAAAAGCTTCTTTTTTTCTTTTTTTTTTTTTTTAAACATGGGGCAGATAATGTCTCTTTGTAGTTTGATTTTCGTTTTTGTGTTGATCATTGATATTGAACATCTTTTCATATACTTGTTTGTGATTTGTATGTCTTTTGAGGAAATCTATTCATACCTTTGCCCATTTTTAAATAGAATTGTTAGATTTTTTTCCTTTTGAGTTGTTTGAGCTCTTTATATTTTCTAGTTATTAATCCCTTGTTAGATTGACAGCTTACAAATATTTTCTCCCAATCTGTGTGTTATCTCTGTTGATTGTTTCCTTTGCTGTTCAAAAGCTTTTTTAACTTGATGTGATCCCATTTGTCTATTTTTGCTTTGGTTGTCCCTGCTTGTAGGGTAATACTCAAGAAATCTTTGCCCAGTTCAATGTCCAGGAGTTTCCTGCAGTGTTTTCTTGTAGTAGTTTTGTAGTTTTAGGTCTTAGATTTAAGTTTTTAATCCATTTTGATTTTATATGTGTATGGTGAGAAATATGGGTCTATTTTTATTCTTCTGCATATATATCCAGTTTTCCCAGCACTATTTATTGAAGAGACTGTGTTTTCCCCATTATGTTTTCTTGACATCTTTGTTGAAAGTGAGTTCGCTGTAGGTATGTAGATTTGCTTCTGGGTTCTGTATTCTGTTCCATTGGTCTGTGTGTCTGTTTTTTATGGCAGTACCATGCTGTTTCAATTACTATTTGAAGTCAGGTAATGTGATTCCTCCAGGTTTTTTCTTTATGCTTGGGATAGCTTTGGTTATTCTGGGTCTTTTGTGGCTCTATATACATTTTCGGACTTTTTTTTCTATTTCTGTAAAGAATGGCGTTGGTATTTTGATAGGGATTGCATTCAAACTATAGATTGTGTATGGTATTATGGCTATTTTAACAATATTGACTCTACCAATCCATAAACATGGAATATCTTTCTGTTTTCTTGTGTCCTCTTCAGTTTCTTTTTATCAGTGTTTTATAGTTTGCATTGTAAAGCTCTTTCACTTCTTTGGTTAATTGCTAGTTATTTGATTTTATTTGTAGCTATTGTAAGTGAGATTACTTTGTAAATTTCTTTTTCAGATTCTTCACAGTTGGCATGTAGAAATGATTCTGATTGTTTTATGTTGATTTTGTATCCTGCAACCCTACTAAATTTGTTTATGAGTTCTGATAGTTTTTTCGTAGAGTCTCTAGGTTTTTCTGAATATCAGATTATATGATCTGCAAACAAGGATCATTTGACTTTTTCTTTTCCAATTTGATTGCTCTGGCTAGGACTTCCAGTACTTTACTGAATGACAGTGATAAAAGTAGCCATCCTTGCCTTGTTCCAAATATTAGCAGAAAGGCTTTCTGTTTTTCCCCCTTCAGTAAAATACTAGCTGTGGGTCTGTTTTACATGGCTTTCCTTGTGTGGAGGTATGTTCCTCCTATACTCAGTTTTTTGAGAGTTTTCATCATGAAGTAAGGTTGAATTTTTATCAAATATATTTCCAACATCAGTTGAAATGATTATATGGTTTTTATTCATTATTCTCTTGATATTATGTGTCATATTGATTTGTGTATGTTGAACTATCCTTGCATACCTGACATAAATTCCACTTGGTCATTCTAAAGATTTTTGTAATGTGTTGTTGGATTTGATTTACTATATTTTGTTGAGAATTTTTGTGTCAATGCTCACCTGGGATATTGACCTGTAGTTTAGTTTTCTTTTATTTTCTCTTTTCTTTTCCTTTCTTTTTCTCTTTCTCTCTTTCTCTCTCTCTCTTTTTTTCTTGCTTTCTCTTTCTTTTTGATGTGTGTATCTGGTTTTGCTATCAGTAATTCTAGCCTTGTGGAATGTGGTTGGATGTATTCCTTCCTCCTCTACTTTTTTCAGTAGTTGGAGTATGATTGCTATTAGCTTTTCTTTAGATATTGGGTAAAACATCTAAGATTAAGCAGTGAAGCTTTTGGTCCTGGGCTTTTCTTTTTGAGACTTTTTATTACAGCTTCAGTTTCATTACTTATTACTGGTAAGTTCAGGTTTAGGATTTTTTCATGGTTCATTTTACATATATTCTATGACTGCTTTGACATTCCAAGAGTAGTGTTGAGTAATCGCAGTAGACAGTAGAGCTTTTACATTCTACAAGGCCATGTGGCCTCTAATAGAAAAAGTTTGTCAGCCACTGCAGATACATGAGTTGTTGTTGTTATCAGTTATGCGTGTGTGTTGGGGTTGGGGGGCAAACGGCATTGAGTGTTTTAAGATCTTCTTTCTTTGCATCTCACCTCTCTTCAGGGTCCTGTATCCCTGACTATTGAAGTAACATTCTACCTAATGGAGTTTTGATCAACTGTCAATGTGAAACTCATCTATAGAATTTTTTTTTTTAAATTTATAACCCCATCTTAGGTACATTTGGTAATGAGGCAATCATTTACATTCATATTTGGTGATGTTTGATAACTCTTAGATAAATCCAAGTAATTTGAGACATTTTTGTATCTTTTCTTATTTCATTTCTAGGTACAAGACATCTGCTTCAGCCATGACTGTCGCTGGGTTGTGGTCAGTACTCTCCGGGGTACTTCCCACGTTTTCCCCATCAACCCTTATGGTGGCCAGCCTTGTGTTCGTACACATATGTCACCACGAGTAGTGAATCGCATGAGCCGTTTCCAGAAAAGTGCTGGACTGGAAGAGATTGAACAAGAACTGACATCTAAGCAAGGAGGTCGCTGTAGCCCTGTTCCAGGTCTATCAAGCAGCCCTTCTGGGTCACCCTTGCATGGTAATTTTCTGTCTCCACTGTTCTCTTGAATCTTCCTTTTGTTCTTAGTTTGACAATTCTAGGATAAAACTAAACTTTTTATAGTCTCTTCCTGTAAAAAGAAGGTCTTAGGCTTATATGAAATTATTAAATTTTAATTTAATAATTTAATTATTAAATCATTAAATAAATTGGAGCCAGTATAGTAATGGTGATCTTTACCATGCTATTGTAAATCCCTGTTTCAATATATAATGAATATTTGGTATCTTATTTATGGAATGTAAAACTTGGAATTATTGTTATAACTTCAGAGAACTGAACCTTTTTTTTTACATGTCTCTTCCAGAACATTCTATGTTCAATTGGACACTATAGTTTATTAAGAAATATTCAATGTTGGAAAGAAATGGTCATGGGTAATGTGTATTTTAGATAGAGTAGTATTTACGTTTTATTTTAAAATGGGATTGGTGGGATTTTTACTACTATGTCACAGGAAAAACAAACAAAAGTAGAGCAAATAGCTTTGTAATCATCATCCCAATCAATAAATGGAACATTACTGGAATCTCTCTTTTATGTACCTTCTCCATAACATTAAACCACAAATCTCACTTTTGTGGTAACCACCTCTTTAGTTTTTTTTGTTTTTTTGGTTTTTTTTTTTTTGAGAGAGTCTCTCGCCAGGTGCCAGGCTGGAGTGCAGTAGCATGATCTTGGCTCACTGCAACCTCCGCCTCCCAGGTTCAAGCAATTCTCCTGCCTCAGCCTCCCGAGTAGCTGGGACTACACGCATGTGCCACCACGTCCACCTAATTTTTATATTTTAGTAGAAACAGGGTTTCACTATGTTGGCTAGGATGATCTCGATCTCTTGACCTCATGATCCGCCCTCCTTGGCCTCCCAAAATACTGGGATTACAGTTGTGAGTGACTGTGCCCAGCCTACTTTTTAAAATAGTTCTGTTCCTGAGCAAGTATCCTTAAACAGTGTTGTTTCCATTTTATGTAAATGAAATTATATAGAGTATGTGTATTTTGAAATCTTTGGCTTCTTTAACATTGTATTTGTGAGGTTCATTTATGTTGTTGCAGGTATGTTTAGTTAATTTATTTACAGCTCTCACTTGTTCCATTGTACATCTATTAATTTATCCTTTCTACGACTGCTGATATACATGCATGGTTTCAGGTTTGGGGTAATGGTAGTATGTATATTAATTTTTGAGGGGAAATTCTTGATCATAAGTAGGTGAAACTTAACCTTGATAAACAACACTGGAGTGATTGTATCATTTCATTCTCATTGGAACGACAGAAAACGTTTACATTAGATCACTTTTTCTGGAGCAGATTTCCCTTGATAGGTGACCATTTTAGGTTTTCAAGATTGGGGAATCTTATATAGAGAGATTATGGTTACCACAGAAAGTCATTGTTATTTTATTAATTGATCTGAAATTCACATAACATAATATTGACCATCTAAATGTGATGATATATTTATAATGTTGTGCCACCACTACCTCTGTTTCCAAAACATTTTCCTTCCTCCAAAAGGAAAGTGCATATGCTTTAAGCACTTACTATTCATTCTTATTTCCCTTAATCTTCTAGAAGACACCACTCTCTGCTTTGTAGATTGCTAAATTTACTTGTTCTGTATATTTTATATAAATACAATTATAGAATATATGACCTTTTGTTTATGCCGTCTTTCATTTAGTATATTGTTTTTGAGGTTCATCCACATTGTAGTATATATTAATACTTAATTCCTTTTTGTGGGTAGATTATATTCCATTGTAGGGATATAATGCAATTGATCCATTCATCCACTGATACACTTTTGGGTTGTCTCTACCTTTTGGTTATTGTGAATAGTGTTGTTAGGAATATGTGTGTACATGTGTTTGTTTGAGTACTTCTTTGTAATTCTTTTGAGCATATACCTATCCTAATTTGTTTCAGCTTCTGTACTGATGGCATTATACATTCTTTTGTAATATCTGATGAATTCCAGATGTGTGTGTCTGTGTGTGTGTGTGTGTGTGTGCGTGCACATATACACACATACTCTAGGAAACTTTAAGATAGACTGGAAAAAAATAGGTCAATATTATCCTCGGGACTTTTGTAACTCAAAAAAATGAGAACTCTGTTTTCTCCTGAGATCATACTTTATGCTTTGGCTCTATTATTTTTAATGAGAATGATTGTTATTCATATGTATTTTACTTAACTAGTGACCCATGATATTTAAGGTTGAAAGTTTTTAGAATCAGTCCTAGATGCAAAAGGTCATTGAGGGCTAAACATTAAGTGTACATGAACATAAAGATGGGAGTAGTAGACACTGGGGACTCCTGGAGGGAGGACAGTGGGACTCCTGGAGGGAGGAGAGTGGGAGGGGTGAGGGTTGAAAAACTACCTGTTGGGTACTGTGCTCACTACCTGGGCGACAGAATCATTTGTACCCCAAACCTCAGTGGCATGCAGTTTACCCATGTAACAAACTAGCGCATGTGCCCCCAAACATAAAATAAAAATGGAAAAAAATGCCTATATATCAAAAAAGTCTTCAGAATTTTTATACAATAAACTTTGGAAAGCTATGAGATGTTGATATTTTCAGCTATTTGCAAGACATTGTATTTCAGACTTAACTAGTTACATTTTTGGTGTTCATGTTAAAGTTGTGTTCTCTCAATGTATAGTATAGGTTCTTTGGGGGCTTTTCTTTTTGTGTTAAATATTTCTCTTAACTTAAAATTTCGGCCGGGTGCAGTGGCTCAAGCCTGTAATCCCAGCACTTTGGGAGGCCGAGGCGGGTGGATCACGAGGTCAAGAGATCGAGACCATCCTGGTCAACATGGTGAAACCCCGCCTCTACTAAAAATACAAAAAATTTAGCTGGGCATGGTGGCACGTGCCTGTAATCCCAGCCACTCAGGAGGCTGAGGCAGGAGAATTGCCTGAACCCAGGAGGCGGAGGTTTCGGTGAGCCGAGATCGTGCCATTGCACTCCAGCCTGGGTAACAAGAGCGAAACTCCGTCTCAAAAAAAAAAACAAAAAAAAACCAAAAACTTAAAATTTCACCAAAATCTTTTGGCAAACAGATTCACTGTCCACATGGGGCAGCAAGGTCAATAAGAGAAACCACAGATGTATTAGTAAATAAAGAAGTATTTGTGGTCCCTACATTTGTATGACTTCAGAAAATATTCCCATGAGCTTCTTTATTGTTCTTATTCTTGCTGCTTTATTCAGCAAACCACATAAGAGGTTTTGGCTAGGCTTTGAGCATAATGTGCACAAAAGATTATGGTCATTCTTACCCTCATATATCTTCTATTCCATGGGAAAAGACAGATATTAAATGACTGTGAACAAATATTTTTAAATATATTTTTGTTGAAGGTTGCAAGTGCCAATTAATGATTTTGTCATTTGTAAAAGGACTGTAATTAAGGAGTAATACTAGATTTCCAAGTCAAAATATATACTGTTTTCTCTCAGCCTTGTTGCTTTCGTGTCTCTCCTCATGTTTTTTGCAGAAATACCAGAGAGGAGAATCCACACTGTTTGACAATGCTGCTGTACCTAAGATTTCTTTTTGAAAGCAAGGAATTTCAGGCAGCCTATTCCTCCTGATAAATGACATGTGTTAAATTTTATTTCCAGAATTTACCTCTATTACTCTGTGTAGTTTTTCTCATTTTTGAAGCATAGACATTAGAGCTATGGTTATTTTTCTTCATGTTTTTTGTATCTTACATGTCATAACAAAATGGGCATTGTTGTTGGTCAGTTCTAAAAATGATGTATTTACAGTTTGTGTGGGTAAACAGTCTGATGCTGGTCAAAAACAGTGTAAACCATTGAGCAGGGAGGGATTCATCTTGAAAATGAATCATGTTTTGGCGGTGTCACCATTGTTTGTCTGTGCTCTTTTTAGGCAAGTGAAGGAAACTGTTAAATAACAGTTGATATAGGGGTATTTCCTTTTGACTCTTTGGAGCCAATCCAGTTTAGGTTAGGATTATTTTATCTATTTGCCAATTTTGTTTAAACTTTCCAGAGGATGTTTATTTATTTGAAATATATTCTTTATAAATATCTCTTCCATTTCCTATCTTGTTGCATGAACATTCACTTAGTCTAGTTGAGGAGTTCTTTTTTTTTTTTTTTTTTAAAGAAGCCAGGAGGGAAGGAGAGGAGTTCTTAACTTGTGATCCATGAACAGGATAGGAAAAAATTTACGTCTTTATATTCACTATCCTTTAACCAAAAGTAAGCATTTCCTTTTTATTATGAACATAGAAGACACTTGAAAATAATAATATTAAAAGTGCTTGTGATACAATAGAAAATGAAGATGTATGCATATCACTTTATATATGAAATATATATTTTGAAGTGTCTTGCATTATTGAATATATCTTAAAATATTGTTTTCACTCATCACTACTTTGAAATTATTATATAATATTTTAGTATTAGTTGATTACATACATTACTGTAGCACTTTATTTTTAATATATTGATAGCTGTACTTCAATATAGTTCATTTTCTTTTGTAATTATATGTCTTTTTTTCCATGCTTTGTAAGTATTATTCTGAGAAACATTCCTCAGGCTTCCCCAGACTGTCTAAATAGTCTTTGATACAAAAATGGTTAAGAATCCCTGATCATTATTTCTTCCCTCATCTATATCAGTAATCTCTAACTTTTTTTTTTAACTATCACAAGCACTTCCTTTGTTAACTGTAAATATGATCTGTCAGTTTTCTGCTTAAGATCTTTGTGTCTCACCATACTCCTAGAAGGCTGAAGAATGTCCTGTCTTATTTTCAGCTTCTTGTCTAAACCATGCCTAGATTTCTGTATCCTTCCCTGAATATGCCACATGTATTTATTTTTTGATAACTTTACTATTTGTGGCTTTTCTCTATTTGACATTATTATTGCCTCTTTGAATGCCTACTAAGCAAGCTGAAATATTACCGCCTCTC